ACAATCAGGTGATCACAGCATGAGCATCAAGCTACGCAATTGGGATACGATGACGCCTGTCAACCAATTCAGTGAGCCTGACTACCCGATCCCGTTAGTCGCCTCTTACGGCAAGCATGGGTTGCTGAAGACCAATTCTAACCCAGATAGCATGGGATGCTGAAGACCAATTCTAACCAAGATACCATGGGATGCTGGAGACCAATTCTCACCCAGATAGCATGGGATAGACCAATTCTAACCCAGATAGCATGGGATGCTGAAGACCAATTCTCACCCAGATAGCATGGGATGCTGAAGACCAATTCTAACCCAGATAGCATGGGATGCTGAAGACCAATTCTCACCCAGATAGCATGGGATGCTGAAGACCAATTCTCTCCCAGATAGCATGGGATGCTGGGTCCAGCTTTACTGAAGACCAATTTTAGGTAAATACAGAATGTAACTTACAGTATTCACCCTTTCCTGTCCATTATCGTGTTCGTCTCATCACAGTGCGGTAAGGTGGCCTGGTGGTTAGAGCGTTTGCTCATTCAGCCAAATGCCCCTGTTCAATTCCCCACGGCCAAATGCCCCTGTTCGATTCCCCAATTTTATATAATATGTGAATTCTATCGCTCGTGTCATTAGACGTGATATTGTATTTATTAGTTATATCGTAGTTATATATATAACTCACACTTGGTTAAGGATCACAAAAATTCACAACTTTACTTTAACGTAGATTTGTAATTTGAAATTGTATCCATTTAAAACTGGATAAATTTTAGTATGGTTAACCCTCTTAAAGCAAACAGCCACTTTAATCTAACCGTATGCACTTGATACATGAGAAACCATAAAAATGGTTTTCATGGCACCAATCAACCATTTTGCAAATCTTGGAACGAGTCATTGACCAGTACACAGCACCTGTCAATAGCAGGTGTCGGATCCACAAGATGTAATGACATACTGAAACCTGGGATCCATGCTTACCATAAGCTTAGATATTTAAACCAAATTAGACCCCACATCATAGTTTTCTGTTGAATCAATGATTTGATCCTTAGCAAAGTGTGAACAGTATATATATAAGCACTAATTTTGCTACAGCTCTGAACGTATATGCTACAAAGATTCACTTATTCCTGCATCAGCAAAATCTCATGAATGGTGTACAAGCGGAAGCAAATTTTCCCACTCACTCAACGAGATAAATATCTTATTGTGAAGACAGGACCTATATGACCTGTGTGTCAACTCTCCTTCCGCATTGTTTTTTTTTGGTTATTATGTTTTGATGTTGATTTGCTTTGTTGGTTTTGGGTTGTTGTTTCATATTGTTTTGAGTTTGTTTCTTCTTTGATTGTTTTGTTGGAGGTTTGGTTTTTTGGGTTTTTTTTGTTCAGTTTGTTTTTGTTTTGTTTTATGTTGTTGTTTTTTTGTTTCTTTCTTTATTTATTTTTATTCTTTATTTTTATTTGATAATTTTTATTTATTTTTATTATTTTATTTTTTTATATAATTGTTATTATTATTTATTTATTTGGGGGACGGGGGGGGGTGGGGTGTTCTGTTCTTTTCATTTTGTTTCATAAATTTCACTTCCGGGTGTCCTTATACATACAGCTTGCACATCGTGACAATAAAGTTCAATTCAACCTACTCTCAGTATACATTTCAAACTGTAATGCTGCAACACATAAGTATGGAAGTATTGTATTACTTCAGTCTACTATTATAAACTCTTACTACAAGCACGGACCGTGCACTACAGAGGATTCCTATACAGAATATACGTCACTGTACGTAAACTTGACGATGGTGGACATAGGTGATTATGCAAAATGTTTTGAGTACATAAAGAAACCAGTCATGGGTTCTGTCCTTAAGATAACCCCCCTAAACATCCCTATCCCCCCCCTCCAAAACTGAAGTTTTACTGGCCGGTGCTGAAAATAAAGTGGTCTAAGGGAAGTAACTCTTGCGTTTCCTGCGCGAACATGGCTATGCGTCATGTCATTCATAAAACTAAGTGTTTCCGTGGGGGCCGTGTCGTTGTTTTATTTCGGTTTTGAATGTTTCATTTAAACGATTTGTAGCCATGCCATTTCACATATATCTCAGTTATTCCTTTGGCTAATGCACTTATTATAACAGCTCGTGTAACTTTAAATAATTGAACAGCGGAGTGATACTGCCCATTCAGTTTTCATCCACTGCAATTTGTTTTACAAAATATTTTGAATTTGATTCCGAAAGATTTTTCTGTGTTAAACCTCATGTTTCTTGATCCGCACAATTACGACGCTAGCCGACCAATAGAGTCCCAACGCCTTCGCGTGTCCGCTGTTAAACGATTTTTTAAACAAAATATATGGGTTCTTGTACCAGCGCACTGGGATGAAATCTCCTGGAAAACAATTTAGGTTTAATGAATATGCACCACACGTGCGATCGCAAAATCTCGCGCAACTCACGGGAGCTGATTAAATGAAATATTAAAATTTATGAATTCCATTAGTTGCACGTGATTAACGAAGGTCGAGCCGACATTTCAAGTACATGCATGTTTTCAATGTCAATTGATCTGTCAGTTACAGATTCCGGGACAGAATAGGCCCCCAGCCTTTCGTTAGAGCCGACTAATGAGAACTCGGTTGTTAGAGAGTCATCTGGCTGATTGGGCATGGGATCTTGGTGGAAATGTAATGTGCTTCTGAAAAAACCCCATTGCCCTAAGGTTTTACAATCAAATATAAATTGTTCCATGCCCAGAAAATAAAAATTAATCGTAAAATATAAATTGTACAGCTCTTCCGGTCAGAGAAAAGACGTTTCGTTTGTTTGAATCGATGTCCAGAAGAAACTGGACCTCCAGTAGGTCTGTGCGGTGAAAAGATACGCTTAATGATTATATCAATGTGATTATTTAAATAATTTCTGGTTGATTGGTTTGTTGTTTAACGCCGCACTCAGCAATATTGTATCTTTATGTAGCCGGTTTGTAAATAGTCGAGCATGAACCAGACAACCCAGTGATCAACATCATGAGCATCGATCTACGCTATTGGGATACGATGACACGTGTCAACCAACATAACGAGCCTTAACATCCCGTTAGTCGCCTACCACTACAATCAAGGTTGCTGGAGACCAATTCCAGAATATCCAACTGAAATGTTCAAGAAACACCCAGTTCTTTCATATTGCTAAAAGACAATTTCATGGAACTTTATAGTGACGGCAGATGGGAGATTAACTTCAATATGATGAAAGAATGTGATGTTTTAAAAAACTTATTTTGGGTAGCATATACCCTGTCTCTCAAGAAACAAAACGAAATTGCCACTAACTTCCACGACAGCAAACGGTGAACACAGTCTTTTAACATGATCTCCCGGCAGAGGGTCAACCCTCATGATCGTTTGATCTATAAAATGCGATAAAACATACACAGGATTTCTTTACAATATAGTATAAATTTATTTCATAAAACTAATTAACATTCAGATTCCATATAAATACTGACACAACATGTATGTCACAAGGCCGGTGGCTAACAACGTCTACAGAAGTGCCTTTTCTGTCCATGGTCGGACCAATTGTAGGGATACACTATCAAGCACACATAATTATAACAAGCAATATTTTACACTTTTGTTTGCATGGGAAGAGTTCTGACATAAGAATTTTCTGGAAAAAATCTGACCTGGGGTAAAGGCAAAACACTGAGACAGGGAAACGGAGCACTCGGAAAAAGGCATCCTTACTAAAGTATCTGCCAAATATATAATACGTGGAATCTGTAGCCACTGACCGCGACACACACATACACACTCATGATGCCTGCTCTCCTGGAAGGTGGAACTAGTAGAAATCAGTCACAACATTTACGTTTTATGATGACAATCACTGCATACCATGTCTTGATATTTCTGAGGGACAAAATGTATAGCATGACATATAGAAAGAAAATATTCCATGAATCGTTGCTACATTAGAACTGGTATTTTGTTACATTTGGCCAAGAAGACCCAGGCCTCAGTGTAATGTTGTGAATGTAACTACATTAAGATCCATGCCTCATTTTCCAGCAAGAAGCAGACATCAAACTAATCCGACGGCTGTTTAGAACATTCAACATTGAACACATGGAACTGGAACCCGACTTGTCAATCCATTCTGACCTGTGTTGTTACTCCTGTTACATGTCTAGTTATACACCTGTCCATTTCATTACCAGGCTTTAGGGTTCATTTCAATACAAACCTTTCTGCTAAAGACATTACTGAAAAATGTAATTTTCTGATTAGGGCGAAGAAGGAGAGTGTGACAAGCATGGCCGATCATGTGACCAACTTTTCGCGCCTAAAGATGGGGGAAAGGAAGACTACTGGGGTGAGTGATTTTACGTCCACATTTTTGAAGGGAGCTTCAAAAGGGGGTTCAAGTGTTCCACTATAGTTCGCAAGAGAAGAGTGAGTGAGTGAGTTTGGTTTTAACGCCGCTTTTAGCAATATTCCAGCAATATCACGGCGGCGCAAGAAGAAGAAGACAAGCAATTAAGCATGAGTCAGGATAAGGAAAAATTTGTAAAATAGGAAACAACTTCAACTATTTTATTCAGATCAACACTTTTGAAGTAGGGTGAAGTACGCTTCTTTCCTTCAGCCTTTCAATTTTTTTCAGGGTAAAAACAAATCTGGTCATATTCCTTCTGTGAAGGTGGAGTTGGTTTATGATTTAGAATAAATTCTGTCAGCTGAGCGAAAACAACCTGGTGATGGATCTGCGACAAGAAAGATTACTGTAAACCTTGAAATTATTCCAGAGTGAATAATTACAAAAAATGTGAGTGGTCTTTGCCCACATTATTTAAACTTCGCAATAATGTTTAAAATGACAGTTAACATGACGGCATCACTTTGGATAGGGGAACTATTTTAGTTTCATACCCTAAACCAGTCAACATCGCTCATGAGCCTTGATTAATTTCTTATTGAATGACACCATGTGCTTACGCACACACAATACAAAGCTGATTTGGACAATGTGTCACTCATGACACACTTTAGACTAACACTTAGTCCCCGAATATATATAATTTTGACAGTCACAAATAAACCCATTTAAATTGAAAAGGAGCCCCAGTGAGTTGGGAAATTCCTGAACTGGGGGAAATCTAGACTTGCTTCATTTAGGGCTTTAGCATTGCAGGGAGGGCTAGGCAGTAGAGAAAATAATGTGGTTCAGGGACTGTGACACAGACTAGACCCAGCGTGGCGACAAGTCGGGCTGTACAACATTAAGGCTGTGTGTGAGCGTACCACACACTGCAACAACAAACTGTACATCAACTGTAGAATACTCAGAGCCAAGTCTAACTAAGCTGCTGAAAACATCAACAGATAATTACAATGACAAAATGGTTAGAACGGCAAACATGTCTTCAAATCCCTCTAATTAACAATAAGCTTAAAAATATCAGTTTCCATAATTGTTACATGAATGCTAACTCTACATGTTTGTATGAATAATGGCAGGACTGAATACATAGGATATCTGTTTAGTTGGATATCTCAATTTGGATGTCACAGTACATGATATATGGCTTCAGACAGTCAAATACTGCATTGTGAAGCCAAGCATTTAGAATCATAAAATAACTTAATTTACAGTCACATATCCTTTATGAAACTATAGCACTCAGAACCCACATAATGATCAGGGCCCTGTTCCACACAGCAATCGTGGGTCACTAATGACAGTTCCACATGTTCAAGCAGTTCGATAGTCTCAGCACTATGATCGCCAGGAAGGGATGACAGTTGCACAACCATGGACTCCACTTGTGATGTTCAAGGGATGGGCACTACGACTCTTACAAGTCTATCAAAGTATGGGAGTTACGATCACCTCCGCACTATCATCGCTTTGAGGAACGGGTGACAGTGGGCACTAACCATGGACTCCACTTAAAGAACTGATCTGGGCCCGCTTCACAAAGGGATCTGACCACTATGGCTCTTACAAGTCTATTAAAGTATGGGAGCAATGATCAACATAGAACTAAGAACCTTATGGAACTGGGCCCTGAACTTCCTGGCAAACAAGCAAACACAATGTTATGAAGAGGGTTTTCTCCTTTATTGTCCACAATTATGTTGTATTGTAACGCACATTGTAAAGGACAGCACCTTTCAGAACTCTGAATGCAGTGGGAACTATAATATATTAGTGAATGAAAATGCAGGAATTACTCTGGAAGATCTGTTCGAGGACACATATCTAACCATTTCAGGTAACGCTGATTCTAAATGAGATTTTGATCTGTTGGAATTCTATTGTCTTGCTAAATGCACTGTAAGAAATAAGACACATTAAAAGGGTGACTTGGATGTTGATATCTACAAATGATTGACAGTTCTCTATAACGTTGTCTTTATGAAGCGTCTCTTTTAAAAGACAGATTTCATGTATATGTCAGGTTTAATAATATTGTCGTAAGTATGGCTAAATAATGGCTGAAAAGGATGCCTTGCTCCATGTTTGACACTAAAAAAGACATGGCAGATCTGTACATGGGTTATTATGATATAAAATCTTATATACAACAGTGAATTGTACAGATGAGATGTAAATAACATGATGATAACATGTCAACAATATATTGCATTCTGTGTGATGTCGTCAATGGTAGCCATGAAATGAACCTAGTAATTCAAGACAGCATGTACACTTTAGAGCGAAGATTGCAAAAAGAAAATATAAAGAGATATGAAAATTCATAAACCCTGATTCATTTTCATCCGTCACATCAAGAAAAAATGCAAACAGTGGTACTACTTTTTTGTCATGCTTCACATAACCACTATTATGTAGACACCTGCTTATTGACCTGATTTCTGGTATCAAGAATATGACCCTATCGAACCCAGCAAAATACAAAAATAGTCCGTCATATCAGCTGCCTGGGCATCGCCATGGATACTGGTGTCCGCCTCTTGTGTTAATGTCCCAGCAGCAGCGGCTGCTGCCATCACTGCTGTCACAGACGATGAGGTTATGACTGTAGTATTTGATACTTGTCAACAGATGAGAGTCTGATCAGCCGTGAGTGGTGTCATCCTCCACGAAATCCTGTGCTTCTTCCCGACTGACACACTCGATGTGACTCACCTGCAACAGAGTGATTATTAGTACAATCCAGTTGATGAAATGATCATCAGTATTTAGCAAGATAAGTGTCATCAAGAATGTATCACCAACTATGAAAACTAAACAGAAACTGATCGATTGAAGGTTATTATCAGAGTGTGTCAATGTTGTTTTGTGCCACCTTGAAAGCTTTTTAGTTATATTTAACTCCGCCGGACTCAGCAATAGTCCAGCTATATGGGGGGCGGTCTGTGAATAATCAAGTCTGGACCAGACAATCTAGTGATCAACAGCATGAGCATCGATCTACTCAACTGGAATACAATGACATGCATCAAGCAAGTCAGCGAGCCTGACTATCCGATTCCGCTGGTCGCCAGACCAAAGATGTCAATCCAGGTGTATCTATGTTCGGAAACCAGGCTCCATACATCCAAGACATGCACCAGGTTTGGACCCGGCCTCCAGTCAGTTAGTTGGAGGCTAGTAAAAATACAGAGGGACAAGTGGCTTTTCTACCAAACTTATTTCCAAAAACCACTGGTCAAAATTAGCTCAAGGCTTCAACAGGTAGGAAAAGGTTGAACCTCAAACATAGATTAGATCTCAATGATGACAGAAAGAATGTCAAGGATTACCTTATTCCTGAATTTGACACCATAAAACTTGTCCGAGTGTTCGAGAAGCTCCGGTCGGAATGTGGTGGTGATGAACTGAGCATCCTGAGACAGCTCATGGATCATGTCTGTAAGAAGAACAGTAATCTGAATGTTGACCTTTGGGTTGTATACTCCCCAAGGAGCTGAGAAAGAAAATGAGTGAGTGCGTGAGTTTTAGATTTATGCCACCTTTAGCAATATTCCAGCAATATCACAGCAGAGGGACACCAGAAATGGGCTTCACACATTGTACCCATGTGGGGAACCTAACCTAAGTCTTCCACATGACGAGCGAACGCTTTAACCACTAGGCTACCCCACCGCTCCTAGAATGAAAATGAAGGTCACACTGATCCGCACTGATACAGTAAATGTCCTAACTCTCAAACTTCATTGTTAAACATTACTACATTGAACAGTTTGCCATCTAATAACATAGTTAGGAAAATGCTCCTTTTATCATGATCACAGCATCCAAAGAGAGTTAATGTTCCTTCAGCATGAAGAATGTCTGTTGACGTACCAGCTACAGCCTTTCTGTGAGATGAGTCCAGGGCCTGGTCAATCTCATCAAACAAGTAGAAGGGGGCAGGGTCACACTTCTGGATGGCGAAGATCAAGGTCAAGGCCACGAGTGACTTCTGACCTCCAGAGAGCTGCTGCATGTCTCTCATCTCAGCTCGATTTCCGGTGAACGACACCTGAAAAGAGGAAGGACCAATAAGATATCAGAAGTGGAGGCAGTGAGGTGAGGTGAAATTGGGTTTAACGTCATGCTTGAGAAGATTTCGCTCATATGACGATGTGCATGCGTGTGTATGTGTATGTGCGGCTGCTTGTACTAGCCCAGATTTAAGCTGGTTTTATAGTGCTAGCCCACTGAGATACCATGCCGCAGTGAAGCATGAATACCCCACTCAGACACATTATACTGACTCCGAGCCAACCAGTCCTTGTTGTACCCATTAATGCCAAGAGCCAGGCAGGGACCAACAAGTACCATATTTTAACATCTTTTGGTTTGACGCGGTTGGGGATCGAACCAGCAACCTTCCGCTCTCCGGGCGGATGCTCTAACCACTACACCACGGAGGCGGTCAGAAGTGGAGGCAGAGCAACAAGGAGCTAAGAGAGAAGACTACAATTAGGAACATGGCCAGACACAGCAAGTATGATCCAAGTTGTTCAAAGCTTACTTTGTATGGCTTAACATCTCAATATTGTAACACATCTTAGACAACAGCTACTGACATACCCTGATTCCAACTCCAGTGAACTGTTCTACAAGCGGCACATCCTGTTGTGATTGTCCCTGTGAGTCGTCGGCACCCTGGACAGACAAACAATGTTACAACAGTCAGCCAACAGATGGGAAGTGCCATCAGCCTTCAGTGATGGCCTCCTTTCAATGGCAAAAACATAAAACAAATGTCAATGTTTCAGTTTATCTAGTCTTGTACATGAATACTAATAGTGCATTTTAGTTTGATGTTTGAGGAAAGCACAAAACCATCCATTTAAATGAAGACATTTACCAGTTAGTTGAAATGTACAAACAATGACGGTGAATTTGGGATTCAAACTCATCACAGCATTCTTGTGCACCTAAGGGAGGTAACTCTGCAAAGCAACTTTTGGCAACATGGGCAAATTTAAACAATTTTGGCAACTCCTTTACTATCTATTAATAGTGGATCCAATATTATCTACAAAATGCTGGCGACCGATTTCCACACTTCATGTTGAACAAACTGATAGTGGACTGAATTACACCACCTCTGGAATTTTAAAGGTAGTCTTGACAGCACACCAACAGCATGGAAATGATAGTGCTAAGTTTGAGAGAGAGTCAGTTTGGACGATCACTACGTACATCTGTTTCACTGTCCCCCTTCTTCATGACTAGAACAGCATGCCCCTGTGGAGCCAGCTTCTTGAAGATCTCTGTGAAGTACTTGGACACCTGAAAGAGAACAAGGTTGGTTGGTTGGTTTGTTGTTTAATGCCACACTCAGCAATATTCTTGCTATAGGGTGGCAGTCTGTAAATAATCAAGTCTGGACCAGACAATCCAGTGATCAACAGCATGAGCACTGAAATACACAAATAGGATGTGATGACATGTGTCAACCAAGTCAGCGAACCTTAGCACCTAATCCCGTTAGTCACCTCTTGCAACAAGCATGGATGCTGAAGACCAATTATAACCCAGATCTTCATGGGTAAACAGAACAAGGGCATTTCCTGGTTAGTGAATACAGTTAGCTTAGAATTTCACAACAGATCACTCATTTGCTAAAAACATCAGCAGATTTCAAGATCATTCTAGAAATATATTTGGCTCCACTAAAAAGCATACACACTGTCTGACTTTAAAGCTCTCTCACAAAGAAAAACTACCAAATCAACTAAATATTCCATGATGGTATTCTAATCTTAAATAAGTCACATATCAGAACTAGCTCCCAACTCTGATATCATGAATTAGTAGTCACTATCTGATGTTCACTCATTCATGTTGACTTACTCCAATATCTAGCAATTTATTATTCACCACATTTCTGTAAATCAGAGAACAAATGTCATCAATGTTTTGAACACATTTCCAAGATAGCACTACCAAGACATTACAAAACCACTGTGGACGACAACTAACTACAAATATAAATCTTTATGAAAACTCAAATCTAAGAGTTGTGTAAGTAAATCGGTACTGGTACTTAAACCCATGTCTAGGCATTAATTGTTTGACACACACCATGCAGGCTTTCACCTTGGAGATCTTCTTTTCTGACAATTCAATGGCTGCTGTTGGCTAAAGCTCTATACGTCTCTGGGGTCATTTGAACTACACTAGCCTTGTAGACTGTTTCAAACTATTTAGCTAAACCTGTAGAGGTTTCCAATTCTTTGAAGAGAATCGTCCTTGGGGTACATATATGCATTTTCTGCGGCTGAAAATATCATGTGACAGTTGTATCAATGTTTTAATAAAAATATTGTACAATAAATAAAATCTTTTTTATTTATTATACGGCCCCCACCTCGTGGAGTTACCTCCCTGCTACGCATGCGTAGCCAACCAGGTAAGCACCTAGGCCCGTATCATCATTCTTTCTGCTGAATAAATCAGTGAACAGAATTGTGGGGAGGTGGGTGGCCCTACCCCAAGGACGATTCTTTTCAAAGAATTGGAAACCTCTACAGGTTTAGCTAATTCTTTTTCATAGAGACCGTCCTTGAGGTACATATATGCATTAACTCAGACTCACAAAGACCGGAGGCTAGGGAGGAGGGAATTCTGTCAGAGTACAAATAAATAGCGATCGTTAGGAAGAATGTAATAGACACCACAACACTCACCTGTCACGTGTCCCGAAGCTTCTGCGAGAGGCATGATGGAAGGGTAACCGACAGGGAGGAAAGTACTAAGATCCGACCTCATAGGTTAAGCAAAGCAATTCGCACACAGTGTGAAAGTAAAGAAACCCGCCCACATCGTGAATCTATTAGAGAGCACCGTAAGGGGGAAACCTAACTTACAACCGACCATAATCTCCTGAGAGAATCGAAAGGAGTTAAATATGATAACAGCGGATATATCAATGATACACAATTGAAAGCAGCGTCAACTGTCCAGATAACCAAGACTCACTCGGTCAGGGTGGCAGGACACTGTCCACTGGAGAGAACAGATCGGCCAAAACACGCACGATCACGTGAATGTGTATCGAGCTGATAGTGCCTGATAAAAGTGCTAGGCCTGCTCCAAATAGCAGCAGAGCATATCTCTTCAATGGGCAGTGCCAATGCAAAAGCCTTTGACGTGGCCACTGCCCTGACCGAGTGAGCCTTCAACCCCTCAGGGGGAGGGCAAACGGTGGAACTAACCGCCCTTGCTTAGCACTTGGGGCTGCACCTGAGGAAGCCGAGGAAGCCGAGGGTGACCGAAGTGAACACGCACTCGTCAAACACCAGCACAAAGAACAGAGAATCATCCCCCAGCTGGTACCTCTTAACGAGTTCGGGTAAATCGAACCGGAGGCGTGACCCAACCAGGAGGGGATCCATCACGTCCTGCATCAGGGAAGGCAAGATACGGAGCAGTGTCTGCGAGGGTTGCCTTGGGGCAAACGCCTTGCCCGGCAGGCGGAACTCAGTTGAGCGACATGTCGGCACTGCGGCTTGTCGTATATACTTGGCAATACGTTGCCTAACCTCCCGGAGAGCCGACGAGAAACAGAAAGTACCCTCCGACTCCTCAACCTCCCCAACATCCATAGACTCGGCACCCGAGCCTGAGTCAGAATTCGGGTCTCCTCGTTAAGAGGAGCCGAACCCCCACCCGGTGGGAGGCCGAGCCACAGACGCCGCGGAAAGGGAAGAGCCGAAAGGACTCCCCTCTCCGGCAGCCGACACAACACTCGAACCCCGGGCTTCTCCACTCTCATGGGGCGGGGTGGCACAGGGACCGGAACCCCAGGAATCCTCAACGGACCCTGCGCCATGATGATACGGGCCTAGGTGCTTACCTGGTTGGCTGCGCATGCGTAGCAGGGAGGGAACTCCACGTGGTGGGGGCCGTATAATGGTTAAAAAAGATTTTATTTATTGTACAATATTTTTATTAAAACATTGATACAACTGTCACATGACATTTTCAGCCGCAGAAAATGCATATATGTACCCCAAGGATGATTCTCTTCAAAGAATTGGAAACCTCTACAGGTTTAGCTAAATAGTTTGAAACAGTCTACAAGGCTAGTGTAGTTCAAATGACCCCAGAGACGTACAGAGCTTTAGCCAACAGCAGCCATTGAATTGTCAGAAAAGAAGATCTCCAAGGTGAAAGCCTGCATGGTGTGTGTCAAACAATTAATGCCTAGACATGGGTTAAAGTACTAGTACGCAGAAAATGCATGTACCCCAAGGACGATCTCTATGAAAAAGAATGAGAATTCCTGTAGTCAGTGTGGTACAATATTCTAAATGTATCCGTACTGACTTTCTGAGAGTGATTTGTTAACTGCTGAGTTAACTCTACCACTGGTGGTGCTCCTACCAAGGCAGGTGATCTAAGCCTGATTATACAGCACTGGCTGTTGTCTCATATATGATGGGTGGTGCCCTTGATCCCCCTTCAAACTTGATTACATACCTGTTTAAATGTCAGCTGGATAGCCTCATACTTCCTCTGGTCCAAGGCATTCATCAGATCCAAGATAGACTGAAACACAAGGAGGCTGTTCATGATAACATCCAGCCAAGGCTTTCTTTGTCGGTTTGTCATCACTGCACTCAGAAATATCTTACATGACAGCAATCTGACAACCAGACACTACAGTGATTGATATTATAACGCAAATCCACCTTCACACAAGTAAGTCACACAACCAGACAATCTGGTCCATCAAGTCCCCTTGTAAGACAAGAAGGACTTTCAGAAACAAATTCTAACCTGAAATTCCCACAGGAGCTAAAGAGCTTCTTTCTATGACAGGCAACAAGTGCAGATGCTTCACTTCAAGTCAAATTAACTTGTTGTAAGAGTGAGTAGTACTTACACTGTGGGCACGGTCTAATTCATCTTTCCTCTTCATCAACTTTTCCTTCTGATCCGAGAAATTGACAAACTGGTCGAGAGCTTTCTTGTTTACGTGGCTGTACTTCTTTAGCTCATGATTGCACTGGTCGAGCTTCTTGAAAAGCTACAACACACAGACACACAGGCATCTGAGCTGAAGTCCCAGGAAATACATAATGGCTTGCAGACCTAAAGTCTTTGATACAGTCTGTAATGCTTCTCATATTCATTGGTGAATACAAATCCTGACCTCATGAAGTAAGTGAGTGAGTGAGTTTAGTTTTACACCACTTTTAGCAATATCCAGTAATATAACAGCCTGGGACCCATGTGGGGAATCGAACCCAGATCTTACACTTGCCGAGCGAACGCTTTAATCACTAGGCTACCACCGCCCCATGTCCTCATGGAGCATTTAAGTCATTCATCCTTCTCTATTGCATCAAATGACATCTTTAATCTTACCTGCTTCATACTGAGATCTTGATACTTCTCAAAGGCATCACTAGGCAGAGAACCCAACTCTCGGATTTTCCTCATACAATCCTCTTTCTAAGAAAACATGTAAAAACATACAATGAAAATTAATGTTAAAATATATGTGAGGTCAACTTAGTCTTAAGCTTGTTTTAACCACTGTTCAATAATTGTTTGATAGACTAGAAATTGACTGATGACAGAGGACACAGTCTTTGGATAACAGCCTCTTACTCAATGTTTGTCATCAACAATATTATACCAAGGAAACAAAACTCACCTTTTTCAATAATAAACTTTGTTTGTTGGTCATTTTCTCCAGATCTTTTGCATCATCACTGATTTTTTCTTGATATTCTTTTTCTTGGCCCTAAAATGGGTAAGATATTGATATAAATCTTCAGTGACCCATACTTATTATGATCTTTATTCACAAGATCTAAATTATGTCACGAATAAGGGTTAGACTCAAATCAAAAATATTTTGACTCACATTTGGTACACATAGACATGTCAGGATGCATTTTTTAAAACTCTGGTGCATGTTTGATAGAGGTAAATCGAACCCTGCATTGTATCATGTAAACTGAAGGCCTGTCACCAACAATAACTTCATACGCATCTGAATGCAAGTATAGTCGTGGTCTGAACCCTTAGTGCTAACAATGTTGGACTGTGAACAACACAAACCTTCCAATACTCCAGGTTGCTTTGTAACTCCTTCTGTTCCTTGTTAAATCTGTCTAACTGGTCATCGAGGTCTGAAAACAACAATAGGAAAGCCTGAAGTCTCAGAAGTTTACCACTGTCATGAAATCCACAAGCATGGGCGTGGTGCTGACAATGTTGAAAACTAAGGGACGCAACTCTACAGTGAATTGAGGTGCCTTAGAGGAGGGGACTGCCTGTGTCTTCACCAGAACCTTTGTTTCTTTGTTTGTTTGTAAACACATCACTCAGCAATATTCCAGCTATATGGCAGCGGTCTGTAAAGAATTGAGTCTGGACCACACAATCCAGTGATTGAGATCATGAGCATCAATCTACGCTAGGATACCTATACTTGATAACTGCTTCCCTATCAGAGAAAGACACTCAACCTCTGAGTAAAACACAAACTCACCAAAAGTTTCAAGCCCCTTCAAGTCGGTAAACTAATTGTAATAATAATGATAATCATACTACTCAACACACTCAACATCAAAATTTGAAACTGTGTAAGAAACTCTTCACTCTATCATTGATGAAGATGTTTAGTTGGTGAAAGTACCTTTAGATGTTTTCTTGAGCTCAGAGATCCTGTCATCCACAGACTGCAGATCACTTTGTAAACTGTCCAGTCTCTGGGTTCGATCTTCTGTGGATGTCTCCTGAAGATCATTCAAGATCCGATCCCGCTTCTTGTACAGGTTGTTGTTGAGCATGTTCTCCAGCTTGTTCTTCTCCCCCTCCAGCTGAAACGCAAGACACAACACTCCATGTAGAGCGATTCCACGATTCCTAACCTCCAAACAAAAGTAGTTTGTAGGTTTGTTGTGTAATGCTGCACTCAGCAATATTCCAGCTATATGGCAGCGGTCTGGACCAGACAATCCAATCACCAACATCATGAGCATCTATCAGTGTTCACGAAAGGTGTTTCAAACTAACAGGACATTGGGTCCTGTAAGTTTCAGATGTCTGTCTGACCCATTGAAAATTCACAGGACCCATAGAATAAAATTAAACACACATTGCAGATTTATTATTTATTATAATTGGCATTGAAATTATTAACAAACATACGATTTATAAACAGCAAACAAGTGTCACTTCTCACATATAACAACTTCAGTCAAAGTCATTGTGAAATATACAGTCAGACACTGGGACCGGCGGGTGTACAGTTCCATCGGACCGTTGGCGAATCTGCCGGATTTGTCAGAGGGTCAGGCACTATTCGTGAACACTGATCTATCTACGCAATTGCGATACAACGACATGACCTTCAATGGTGTGAAGATGTTTTAACAGCTGACAATTTCCTTATAAATGTCAGCCGAACACTATGGGAACTTCATGCAAAGAAGTAAAAGCTTTGGCTGACTCATGTAGAAAGGTTTCATAAGGAAATCTTTAATTTGAATTTGGGAACCTTTATGAAAGGCTTCAGCAGGCTTGGTGCTGAATATCAGCTTCTAAGTAGGTCTGCATATATAACCTAGCTCTAACAACAAGCATGACAAGAGACCTATCCAGACAATTATGTAAGAGACAAATGCTAATCACATCCTTTGTCCCACTCACCCTGATTCTTTCCTTCCATGCAGCTCTGTTCTCCTCTGTCTTGCCCTTCACCTTGTCGTTGAGCTGGTCCACCTCTCGCTGATCCTCCATACTGAGTTGAGACAGAAGGTCCGTGCCCACCTCTTCATTGAGGGAGTCCCGTGTTGCCACCATGGCCGCCAGGCTGCTCTCTAGGCTTGAAACACTCTTGCCCTGAAACATTTGTTTGTAAGCTTTGTTTAAGCTATATAAGGGCAGCCTGTAATCGAGTCTGGGTCAGAAAATCCAGTGACTGATCATGTACAACAAACCATGCTGTCAGAGTACAATGACACACTCCTAACCTGATCACCTGTTCCGCATGGTTCCTTCCCATGACCAGCATATGTTCCTTGGAACCGATTCTAAGTCAGAATCCAAAGTTATGTCCTGAAACACAGCTGAACTACAGACTACTAAGTACAGTCAGCTCTCGTTAATCCGACACTCATTAATCCGACAATCACGTTAATCCGACAAAAAATTAGGGAACCATTTAAAACAGTGATAATTACTCTCGTTAATCCGACATTCTCGCATTCCGACTCAGACACACCAATCTAGCAACTGATTATTGTAAATACATTGTAAAAACATTCGTTAATCCGACAATCAACACAGCCGGTCGGATGATCCGACCGTATACAAACAATCACATGTGAGTGGTAATTAGCGTGTGCCTTACTGGCTACTTGACACTGACGTCGGTGAACATCACACTTGTTTATTAGGAACACAGGTTAATTAATTGAGACGATTTAATCAAGAAATAACAGTAGAAGCGAGCTGTATAAAATGTTTACAACCGACATGAGTTTTCATCACAAGATGTTTGTCACGAAAGTACACCACCTGCTAAGCGACCCCTTTTAGAAGTTACGCCCATTGATCAAGAGAGAAATCTCCTTTTGAAGAAAGACAAACCCCAGACAACACAACAAGAAGTCATCACTTTTGCTGAGCAGAAGTTTGATGTGAAGATTGGACGATCAACCGTATCTAACCTCCTGAAGCAGTCTGCTTAGTGGTTGAGCCTCTCTACGACTGATTCCAATGCTTCAAGCTATCTGAGGCCAAAACAATGTTGAACACTTTGCAAACATTTCTGACACACCACTTAGACATGTTTGATGTTAATGACCATCAAAGACTTTTTCAAGTTATAAATTATATATGTTATGATACACGCCTGATTGTTCTTTAGACGTCCACATGTTATTATGGAATTAGTTGTATGGAAACTGTAACATATTCAACATCCGGGTCATAATGGCAGCTGATATGCGGTAAAAACAAACATGAGTTTTGTGCCAATGTGGTCATGAAATAGATATGAAATGGTTTGCTTATGTGATTATATATGTATGTTATGCCATCTACGAATGTTAATAAATGATAGCAAGTATGTATTCTTAGTATTTTTTATTTCTGTGAATATTTTTACGTACGATGAAGATAACTAGATCTACCATTTCTGATATGCATGCAACAGTATGACGATCATGACATTTAGTAAACATTGATATTTTCACACAAATACATTAATCCAACATTTTCATTAATCCGACATTTCCGTTAATCCGACATATTTCTCTGCAACCACAAGTGTCGGATTAACGAGAGCTGACTGTAAACTGACAACTGGATTTGACTGCTTTCGTACCCCACACACTACTGAATTTAGAGTCCAGAATAATCCGGAGCTATCCAGTCCACTTTCAGTAATAATATAGTATGTCAGTTAAATGTGATGAGAAAAGTTATGTAGGTGTAAGATGTAAGAACAGTTTTTACTCGTGCCATTTCAATATTTACTGTGCCATGGCACGCTAATATATATGGCAGGGCTAAAAAAATCCACTCATCCGCTCAGAAATTTTTTCCCGGGAAAGTGAGTAACATTTTTTTTCCCTTGAATTTCAGCTATCTTAAATGGTGAACGAATTCAATTTTGTCAAAGATTTTGTACAGAAGACAAAGTAAGTAATGTTTATTGTAGTTTAATTCCAAGCAAACATTTTGAAATAAAATAATTAAATTTATATTCATTGTGATGCATGATCTATAGGGCAAGTACAGTTTTAGATGGACGACTGTAAAGTTCATATTATTCGCCCTAAAGGGCAAGTGCAGATATTTTAATTTTTCGAGCCCTGTATGGAGTATTTCGAACCCTGACAAACATGACTTGGTGCAGATAAACCTAGAAACATAATCAAATACATTAATTATAGCATTCAGCCCCATGGTCAAAGCATCCTTCCCCACAAGGGATACAACACTGCACAGCAAACAGCAGCTAATTTATTTCACTAGGTATGAAAAGAACTTATATGCATTTTCATAATCCAACATGAAGCCTACCTTTGAGGGTTTCTGTTTTTCCACCAACTTTAATTCTTCCTTGGCTAGTCTGACTTCCGCTTGTAACTTTTCATATGTATCTCTACAAAGGAGAAATACCAAAACAACATGGTGAGATTTTTTAGTGATGCCTTGAATAGCATTTCAGCTGTAACGCCACATTCAAACAGTAGGAATGCCTAAATTGGCACAGATCATTTTTACCATTTTTGTGACGCACAAGGAAACAAAGGATCATAATTGGGGTTTGGTTTTTCAACCTATGACCATCAGACTGACTGACTAGTTTGGGTTTACGCCGCTTTTAGCAATATTTCAGCAACATCATGGCGGGGGACACCAGAAATGGGCTTCACACAATGTACCCATGTGGGGATTTGAACCAAGGTCTTCGGCGTGACGAGCAAACGCTTTAACCACTAGGCTACCCAACCGCCACTATGACCATCAGATACCGGTTGACCTAACAGTGTAAGGGACACAACAGCACAGGGGTGTTCCTCAACAAGTAGTAAGTATTTTAGAGCATGAAAACTCACAATGCTGTGTATTGTTTCACCCCACTATCTATCATCTGACACACGTTATTAACACATGGACATCAAGACGTTCTGACTTACTTATATTTGCTACACTTGGTCTCCAGCTTCTGCATCTCAGACACCAGATTGTTGATCTTGCCCTCAAGAGCTTCCAGCTTGTCCCTGTGCTCTCTGCATGCCACTTCGTGTTCTGCACACTGGGCTGTCAGCTCCATCTTGCTCTTCTGGAGGTCCAGCCGTGATCGGCGTGTGTCGTAGTAGCCGCCAGTCAAAGCCCCTCTACGACTTACCTGGTCACCTGGAGACAGGGAATAACATATTGTCAATCATAACTCAAAATGAGGGACAGAGCAGAGGACGGGGGACAGGACAGGAGACGGGACTGAGGATAGGACAGAGGATGGAATGGGGGACTGGACAAAGGACGGAACGGACAACAGGACAGAGGACATGGTGGAGGATAGGACAGAGGACGGGATGGAGGACAGGACAAATGATGGGATGAAGGACATGACATAGGACGGGATGTAGGACAGGACATAAGATAGGACAGAGGACGTGGCTGATGACAGGACAGAGGACGTGGTGGAGGATAGGACAGATGATAGGATGGAGGACAGGACAGAGGACGTGGCGGAGGACAGGACAGAGGATGGGATGGGGGATAGGACAAAGGACGTGGTGGAGGATAGGACAGGATATGATGGAGGACAGGACAGAGGATGGGATGGAGGACAGGACAGAGGACGTGGCAGAGGACGGGATGGAGGACAGGATGGGGGACAGGACAGAGACGTGGCAAAGGATAGGACAGAGTACGGGATGGAGGACAGGACAAAGGATGTGGCGGAGGACAGGACAAAGGACGGGATGGAGGACAGGACATAGGATAGGATGGAGGACAGGACAGAGGACGTGGCTGATGACCGGACAGAGGACGTGAGGAGGATAGGATGGAGGACAGGACAAAGGACGTGGCGGAGGACAGGACAGAGGATGGGATGGGGGACAGGGCAAAGGACATGGTGGAGGAGAGGATAGGATAGAGGACAGAGGACGTGGCGGAGAACAGGACAGAGGACATGGCGGAGAACAGGACAGAGGATGTGGCGGAGAACAGGACAGAGGACGGGATGGAGGACAGGATGGGGGACAGGACAGAGACGTGGCGGAGGATAGGACAGATTCCGGGATGGAGGACAGGACAAAGGATGTGGATGGAGGACAGGACAGAGGATGGGATGGGGACAGGACAAAGGACGGGCTGAGGACATGACATAGGATAGGATGGAGGACAGGACAGAAGGGCCGTGGCTGATGAGGATGAAGGAGGAGGAGGATAGGACAGGAGGATAGGACAGAAGGATGGATGGAGGACAGGACAGAGAAGGGACGTGGCGAGGAGGACAGAACAGAGGATGGGATGGGGGACAGGACAAAGGACATGGTGGAGGGAGAGGATAGGATAGAGGACAGAGGACGTGGCGGAGAATAGGACAGAGGACATGGCGGAGAACAGGACAGAGGATGTGGCGGAGAACAGGACAGAGGACGGGATGGAGGACAGGACAGAGGACGGGATGGAGGACAGGACATAGGATAGGATGGAGGACAGGACAGAGGACGTGGCTGATGACCGGACAGAGGACGTGAGGAGGATAGGATGGAGGATAGGACAGAGGATGGGATGGAGGACAGGACAGAGGACGTGGCGGAGAACAGGACAGAGGATGGGATGGGGGACAGGACAAAGGACATGGTGGAGGAGAGGATAGGATGGAGGACAGAGGACGTGGCGGAGAACAGGACAGAGGACATGGCGGAGAACAGGACAGAGGATGTGGCGGAGAACAGGACAGAGGACGGGATGGAGGACAGGACAGAGGATTGGATGGGGGACAAGACAGAGGGAAGAGATGGAGGACAGGACAGAAGGGCGTGGTAGAGGACAGGACAGAGAATGGGATGGGGGGCAGGACAGAGGACGGGATGGGGGACAGGACAGGACGTGGCGGAGGATAGGACAGAGGACGGGATGGAGGACAGGACAGAGGTTGGGATGGAGGACTGGACAGAGGACATGGCGGGGGACAGGACAGAGGACAGGGATGGAGGACAGGACAGAGGAGATGGACGGAGGACAGGACAGAGGATGGAATGGGGGACAGGACAGAGGAGGGGACAGAGGACAGGATGGAGGCCAGGACAGAGGACAAGGCAGAGGATAGGACAGAGGAGGGACAGGGGACAGGACAGTGGATGGGATGGAGATCATGGAGGACAGGACAGAGGACATGACAGGGGACAAGACAGAGGGCGTGGCGGAGAATAGGACAGGACAGGACAGGGAGAGATAAGGGTAGAGAGTATGACTTCATATAACTTTAATCTTGAATTAAGACTTGAGAGGAAGTGAAGAATGAGCGAGGGATTGAGGAAGGTAATTAAACGAGTGAGGAAGAATATAACAAATTATCTTCTTGATCTAAATGTGAGAAGAAGGGAAGAATGATTGAGTAAGGGAGGGAGATATGGTTGTCGGAGGGGAAGTAAAAGATTGGAATGGTCAAAATGACAAATTAAGTGCTGAGGTTCAAACTAGACATCAGAAACCCATGCTTGTCATAAGACATGACTATCTAAGTATTGGACTACACAACAAACAAAATCTAATCTTAAATCAAAATTATTGATTTTGATAATAGAAGTGAGTGAGATGAAAGACGCTGGTAGGTAATAAGTGAAAATGGAAAAATGAACAAAGGTTCATCAATCTCAGATGAGGGCAGGGGTCAGTGACAAGGACTGACTGACTGACTGAGTTTAGTTTTACACCGCTTTTAGCAATATTCCAGCAACATCACGGCTAGGGGACACCTGAAATGGGCTTCACACATTGTACCCATGTGGGGATTCGAACCCGGGTCTTCAGCGTGACGAGCGGACGCTTTAACCACTAGGCTACCCCACCGCCCCCAGTGACAAGGAAGAGGAGAGAGATTAGGGGGAGGCAAGGATGGAAGGTACAGAAGGAAGGCAACATACCCTCCAGGGTGATACAATCAAGATTCTGTGTTCTGGCAATCTGCGTGGCCACCTCCATGCTCCGACACACCAGGGTCTTCCCAAACACGTGCTTGATGGCAGGGTCAAACTTCATTTCATACTTAATCTTCTGAATCATAGGAATAGCATCCTGCAAGGAAAACAAAAGGTCTCAAAAGTTTTTGATACACTCAACAAGTACACTGAAATATTCTAGATATAACCCAGCTGTCTTCTTTTAAAACAAAAGTCAAGTCATTATATCCATCTGATTCATAGTCATCTAGCCAGACTAACCCCTAATCTTGTAGATGACCCATGGGCATTCCCCCGATAACCACCAACCTCTGCTATTCATAACAGGCAGCCAAATGGAACTCTGTCACTTGTGTGATTGCGTGTCATTGTGTTGCGGTTACATGAATTGGTGCCCACGATATCGATCACTAGACTGTCTGGTCTAGACTTGATTATTTACAGACCTCCATCATATTTCTTTGAGTGGCATTTAGAGGTGAGGTGAAATTGGGTTTTACGTCATGCTTGAGAAGATTTCGCACATATGACGACGTGCATGCGTGTGTATGGGTATGTGCGGCTGCTTGTACTAGCCCAGACTTAAGCTGGTTTTATAGTGCTAGCCCACTGAGATACCATGCCGCAGTGAAGCATGAATACCCCACTCAGACACTCCGAGCCGACCAGTCCTTGTTGTACCCATTAATGCCGAGCGCCAGGCAGGGACCAACAAGTACCATATTTTAACATCTTTTGGTATGACGCGGCCGGGGATCAAACCCGCGAGCTTCCGCTCTCCGCGGGCGGAGGCATTTAGAAGCTGGTGTGATACACTAGGTGGATAGTTCTATGGATATACAACCTCTTTGTTACAACATATGCTATATTTCAGTGTAGATGCCAACACTTGCTTCATAACGGTGTTAGCATCCACACCTAAACGTTGTATATACATTTCAATAAGAAGTTGTAAAGCCATGTTCTTCATCATATTACTGGAATATTGCCAAGTGTGGCAGAAAACAACATGGGAGAAAAAATATTTTCAAAGGATTTATTGCGAATGTGTGTAGTTGAGAGTAGTTACCTGTGTATCGGGATAGATTGTGTCCCTGTTGTCCAGACGGTTGAGGGGCATGAATGTTACCTCTCCCGGCAGACGCAGGCGGTTCATCTCCTGGAGAATCTTGGTGCCAGTCTTGTCGGTGTCCACTACATGATGAAACAACCTGCAGACATCATGTATATGTTAAAACGTCAGTTCACAACAAATGTCTGATTGCTTTGTGTTGCTGAAAGTGTTCCAGCTATACGTCTCAAAATGACACTGCTATTCTGGATACAACTTGGAAATCTTTATAACAAAAATAGACAACCTTAACCAAACACCCTGGTTGTCTTGATTCATGCCCTACAGTCAAATAAACTGCAGCATAAGACTTATACCACTATATAGCTGTCCTGACATATCATCAAATGTTGATCAGATCATCAAAACCCTGACAAGATACAGTAATACCTGCTTGACTCAAAAGCATGTGACGAAACTTGAGGTATCCATTAAACAAGGTACTCTTCCAGGAACTTGAACCAAACTTGCAAGGACTGCAAATTGGCAAAACTAAGGCCCTTTTGCATATGTCAGGGTTTCAGACAGTTCATTTCCTTGTGACCTTATTGCCTATTACTTATAAACATCCAGTGACGTGACCCTATTGTCTCACCAGGTTCTCCTTGAACCAAGTAACCCTCTACAGGCAGTTTCGCAGGCATTCTCCAAGAAATCCCGGGGATTTTCAACAGATTTGCCCGCAGCCCGGGGATTTTCTGAGGAACAGCCCTTGACTTTGAATTATTTTACTTGTTTTGAAGATTGATATAACTTTGTCTTGCAATTACTGAACACGATTGTAAAATATCACATCACTGAAAACACCTAATATATTGAGCCAATGCCTGGTTTCGATCCTGAAACTATCCTAATGCATTTCCTCTAACATTCATTCCCCGGCCAGCAGAGCTCCAGATAAGATTTAGCTCATGTGGGTACTGTACCCACTGTATTTTTTTGGAGTGGGTATTATGAATTTTGAGTGGGTATTTCATTTTCCGTTACCCACTGCTTTCAAATATGTGCGTATTTCACATGTGCGTATTTCACATATTTCACGTATTTCAGTCATTTTACTCACCTAAGTATTATGTCATTGAGTAAGTTAACTAAGAAGGTATGTTCTGCCTTATGTCATACCGAAGCAAAACCAACTTAAACATAATGGAAATGATTTCATAAAAAATCACTCATCCTATACTGACAGTACAACTTCATAGCAATCGATAGCAGTCTTTTTCATTACGCAAGCGATTTTTAAATGCGTAATTGGTACGCAACAATTATTTTTCAATGCGTAATTGGAAATTTTCGATGCATATTTTACCCGGATACGGAGCTTATCTGGGCCTCTGCTGGCCATACAGTTTATCAAGCTCGAGGCACTCTTGACACATCTACTGCCACTTTGCTGCTGTTACCTTGTTCCAGCCGTGACCTCTACACATGTATAGAAAGTCTTCTCAGCCTCCAGGGTCTCAATGAGAACGCCATGGTAACCAGTCACAACCTCAGGGTAACGCCCTTGTTCTCGGAACTGATTCAACACCTTGCTGACACTGTCAATACCGTTCAACAAGGCCTGGAATAGAACAGAAAAGTGGTTGAAGAAACATACCATAATAACAACACAACTAACATCTGACCCATCTAACCTAACACAGACATGACCAACCGTGAAGAGCACATTTTAACCCTGGATATCAAGCCTGGGCCTATTTTGGATGCATGATACAGTGCACTTTCATGCTTGATTCAACAGGGAGTTCATCATTAAACATTTCTTTCTCTAAAAGTTTAAATCATGACATATACTATTCACACTTTGCTAAGGATCAAATCATTGATTCAACAGAAATGTAATTTTTAGAGTAAAATTGATATTTTATACTTATCCTGACTCATGCTCTTTTTGCTTGTCTTCTTCTTCTTGCGAACATAGTGGAACACTTGTATCTCCCTAATTGAAGCTCCCTTCAATGTAAAATCACTAATTAGTACTCAGCACGAGTTACCTCCCTTCCACAAGCGCGGGAACGAGGGCGCCACCTCCACCCATGTGCCTCACTCTCTCCTCATATACTGAGCCCAACATTTGAATTTACAGGGAAATCCAAAGTGTTATGTGGGGAGGATGGGAGGGCTTATCTCATGAGTCAGGATAAGTATAAAATATCAATTTTACTCTAAAAATTACATATTTTTCCTTATCCTGACTCATGCTCTTTTTGCTTGTAGACTCCGACGGAAAGGGAGGTGGGAAATATATAATACTTTGGATTTTAATAATTAGTGATTTGAACTGTGATGATTGTAATAACCCTATGGGAACTTCATAAAGGTACTGAACTGATGAATTCCTGCTGCTAACTTATCAGCTGCCATATCAAGGTTATTACAAAGTACTTATTATGATAAAGTATATATAACATTAATACAATGCTTAAGACTAATAGACTTAAGCTTGTTAATATGCTAGTATAAACTCCTTAGAGTTTGTTAGCTAAAATACTTTAAGATATAAACATAGTACTAAGCTTAAGATATGATTAAACTTAAGCTAATTATATAATAGCAAAACTCTTTAGAGTTTGTTAGTTAATATACTTATATGATATAGATATAATGCTGAGCTTTAGATATGAATAAGCTTTAGCTACATATATAATAGCAAAACTCTGTAGAGTTTGTTAGCTAATATATTTTTACAATATGAGTATAGTACTGTGCTTAAGATATAATTAACTTAAGCTACATATATAATAGCCAAAACTCTGTAGAGTTTATTGGCTTATAGATTAATAATGTAACCATAGTACTAAGCTTAAGATAAGATTAGACTTAAGCTAAATGTATATAGCAAAAAAAACTCCTTAGAGTTTATTAACTAATATACTTTTATGTTATAACCATAGTACTGAGCTTAAGATATAATTAAACTTAAGCTATATATATAATAGCAAAACTCATTGGAGTTTTGTTAGCTATACATTTTATAATGTAACCATACTGCTTAAGATATGATGAAACTTAAGCTAATTGTATAATAAGCAAAAACCCTTTAGAGTTTGTTAGCTAAAATATTTATATGATATAAACCTAGTATTGAGTTTATGAAGGAAACCTTAAGCTACATATATAATAGCAAAAAAACTCATTAGAGTTTGTTAGCTAATATACTTATATGATATAAACATAGTATTGAGCTTAAGATTTGAAGGAAACTTAAGCTACATATATAATAGCAAAACTCCGTAGAGTTTGTTAGCTAATACAAATTATAATGTAACCATAAAGCTTAAATTATGATGAAACTTAAGCCAAATATATAATAGCAAAAACTCTTTTAGAGTTTTGATAGCTAAAATACCTATATGATATAAACATAGTACTAGCTTAAGATATGAATAAGCTTAAGTTACATATAGCAAAAAACTCCGTTAGAGTTTGTTAGCTAATACATGTTATAATGTAACCATATTGCTTAAGATATGATGAGACTTAAGCCAAATAGCAAAAACTCTTTAGAGTTTGTTAGCTAATATACTTATATGATATGAAACATAGTACTGAGCTTAAGATATGAATAAGCTTAAGCTACCTATATAAAGCCCAAACTCTGTAGAGTTTGTTAGCTTATATATTTTTACAATCTGAGTATAATTACTATGCTTAAGATATAATTAAGTTAAAAGGTAAATATATAATAACCAACTCTGTAGAGTTGTTAACTTATATATTGTATGATGTAATAATCATAGTGCTGTGATGATAAAAAAGAACTTAAGCAAATTATATATAGCATGTAGCTATTTAGTACTGTTATAAGATAAGTAGAAATCTGTAAGATTGACTTATCTTCTCGAGAACTATCAACTGTTGTCTTGAGGACCATGGGATCGAATTGGTGGATACCTGAGGCGTCCTCGGTGATGATATCTCTCAGATAATGGTTGGCAACCACCATATCGGATCTCCAGAAAATAAACCCTCCATTATTTCAAATAACATTGTGTAGATCAATGCAGAAGTTAGCTCTAATATCATGAGTATTAAAAGCTCATGGAGAGGTGGGATTAGGTCCATCCGTCTTGTATGCGTAGTATGACAGTTCTGATCAAGCGGAGATATAGTGCATTGAGATTTCATTCTGCGTAAGTTGATGATAGAGAAATAATCTGTTGTATTATTCCCTTCTGTTTGGTTCGGTGGAGATAAATTTACAGTGCTCTTGCTGGCCATCGTGATAGAATCATGTCATTATCATGAAGTCCAAGTATGTCATCCAGGCGTGTTCATAAAACCTCACTTGTGAGGTGTTGGAACACTATATTCAGATCCCAAGTTGGAGGGTGAAACTTCCGTTTTAATTCTCCAATCAGAAAGTTTAAGTAGGTTTACTAACCATCTAGTTGTGTTAGTAGCTTGATTATGAAATTCAGCTGTAGTCTGAGGAGCTGTGGATTTAGATCCACTTGTATCCCGTCGTCTAGGTTATTAGCTCGCGAAGTCCTTGGCGATGTAGGTGCACAACCAGGTGTGTCTGTCCTCGTTGAAGTTTATGTAAAATTGCCTGACTGCCGTGCCCTCGTCCTAACTTGACAGGGGAGGTCTCTAACCTGAAGAAAGCAGCCCAATCATGAAGGTTCAGATTAACTGGACTGTAAGGAGGCTTGCTTTCGTTCACTGATATATAGTTGTCACTTATTAGCGTAAGTGTTGACCTGTGAACTAAAGATCGACCTCTGCGTGGAGTCGTTGTCCATATGGTCCAATCAGAACAAGGCATTTTGATTCTGTAGAATACCAGCGCTGTGATGTCACCGGTGTAGCAGGAAAAACCTTGTATAAAATCTTGCGTCGTTGATATTAGCATAATCGTCGGTCTTCACGTAGCTTCGAAGTTACCCGGTGACCACGTGTTTGAGGGTTAAAAGCCTTAGCGAAACCTCCGGTAGCGAAATACCTCGCTCTGTAATATTAATGCTGGGTAGGTTATTTTCCTGGCTGTCGTGAAAGTAACTTCAGTTTGAATATAATTCCGACTTTCTTATATAAAGGTACAATAAACTTGCAAGTTGTCAGCTTGTAGACTGTATACATGAATGTATCGTCATAATTGTAAATTAAAGCTGAACTTGTTGTACATATTTCTTCTCAGAAACTTTGGCGATTATGAGTTATACTGGCTGTAACAAGGCTGCTGTTCAATTTCGATATTGAATTTGTCTGCAAGATCTGCGTAATATTACGCATGTAGATACCATCGATATCGTAGTCGGGATTGCATATTCTAGCAATCTATATCACGGAAAAGTTGATTTCTGTGAAGATCTATGCAGCGTCGTTGATTAATTAATATAGCGGCGTTTGTGTTGTAAATAGCCTGTGCAATTGTCTTAGCGTAGGCTTATAGGCGGCATATGGCACCACAGTTGATAGACAACTTATCGCGAGTCTTGAAACGGACTGGCGAGTAGCTATATATGACGAGTGGCTAATATATGGAGACTAGCCGGAGGAGAATTCACTCGGTGGGCCCGGAGATTTGTGAAAGCTCTCGAAGTATCAATCTAGATTTCCTGTGTGGTAGACTTGGAGCCACTTAGCCTTGGCGACCTTAAGCGAAGGTATTGAATCAAGAGCCGATCAGTATATATATATATATGGCTTGCTTGAGACGACCTCTGTGTTCAACAGGGTGAGTGTGTGAGTGTATTGTTTTCACGCCGCACTCCAGCCAATATGTGGGAATTCGATGAAGCCTACCTCCTCCGTGGCGTCCCTTGTAACTGGTGAGGCTCTAGCTCGCCAGCGGAGAGGTGGCCTGGGACTTCCTAAGCGAAGTGTCTAGAAACCCGATCAATATATGGCGTTAGCTTCATACAGGGTGTGGTTCTTGCTGGTTCTGCATAGAGTAGAGGCCGAGTAGATCATCCTATCATCTTCAGAAGTAGGTGTCGCGAAATCTGGTGATAAGAATCTCATTGATCATTCTAGATCTATTAATGCAATAACATAACGCCTCTGGCGTTTGAACTATTATGGCTTTATGGTAGGCTGTGTCCACATACTGTGCTTTTACGCGGCAATCAGTCGTGGAGGTAAAGGTGATGGCGTCTGCCTCGTCTTCCTTTTATCAGGTATGTCTCGCCGAGTTGCCACTCTTGGAAGGTGAAGAGAGATCTAGGTTGTTTACCATCAATATCGTATCTCAGCGTCTGAGAAAATGATGCCTCCATCATTTTCTATCCAGCATCACTGATGAGAGGTTGATGCTCTTCTGATGGTGGACTGTGTATTTCTATCTCTATGTCGGGTGGCCTTCGGGGAGACCTGACTGTAGACTTGTAATGCAGACTTGTGTGGTGACCTGTAGAAGACGATCTCGGCGTGGTGATGTCTGCAGAGGTCGGCAGCGGTTCTTTCTTAGCGATTAGCAGCGGAGATAGATGTTAGTGAACTTCGTCTATGGGTTGACCTTCGAGGAGACCTGTGAGGGAGAATGTTGATTAGCTTAGCGAAGCTCTCGTGTAGTCAGGTGTCCTTAGCGAAGCCCGCGAAGCTTCCTCTGCGTCGGTCCTGAGGAGCAGCGACTTATTCGCGAAAGGCTTCTGTGAGCGAGTCTGGTGGTCTGAGTCGCATCTAGGGATGAAGCGAGAAGAGTGATGATCTATCCACGCCCGAAGGCTGTACATCCTGTATCGCCGTGGAGGTGGTCTGCGACTTCCTTCAGCGAAGGTGGCTTCGTCGTGGCTGCTACGCTGATGGGGTGCCTCTGGGGTGTCGTCTCGCGTTGGAACCTTCCAGCGAAGAGCTCGGAGCCTTGGGCTGGCTGCTTCCCAGTCTGTAGTGGCCCTCCATCATGATCATGATTTGCACAACAGTTCATCTGGGATGGTCTGCGGCGAATTAGTCGGTGCCACCTCTCTCTGCGATGTTATGGCCCGGGGACCCTCAGGGAAGTCGTCTGGCGATCAGTGTAGTAGAACATCAGGCTGCATGGCGATCTCTGCTGATGTCACTGTAGCTGTCTCCGGTAAGCTTCTTGTGGCGATGCGTCGGGGATGATGATCAGCTGATCATCGTAGAGGCCAGTTCAGCGGCTGGAACAATCTCGGTTGAGAAAGTCCTAGTAGACCGTTGATTTCCCCTCAGAGGTCGGCGGCTGCCCTGGGGTCGCGAGTCTCGCGTTGAGTGTTGGTATGACGGGACCCTCAGGAAGATCATAGAACATCAGCGTTGGTACATCAGGCTGCATGTTGATCTCGCGCTGACATCACTGTTGCCGACATCGGTCATTCTTTTGATGTACATCAGGTATGATGATCGGCTGATCATCATACAGGCCCAAATCTGCGGTGAGGAACAATCTCGGCTGAAAGTTCAAGTAGAACCCGTTGATTTCCCCTCAGAATTAGCGTTGAGATGCAGTAGAAAAACTCTAGTCTTCGGCTGCGGCGATGGGATGTCTGGGGAAGCAGGGGCGCTTCTTGGAGGTGGCGGACTCGTCCCACGCCTCTCCACCACTCTAGCGGAACACCAGGCGGGGGGCGGGAAGTCGACCAACAGCAGTAGACTGGCGAGGGGTTCAGGTGTATCAGTCATGGCTAGACTCTGCATACGCGACCTATCTGCTGCGCGTCTCAAACGCAAAGTAATTATTTATTAAAGGCAGAATTGGATAAATTAGTACCGCAACTGCAACGTGAATAAAATGAACATGGCGCAGTACAACTAGGGCGTATTAAATGCGGATCAGCAGCAGAATAAACAAGAGTCATCAGAAGATGACATATCCCCCCGGCCCCCATATCTTTGAAAGAACAAATCATCTGACAGTTACTTAAAGTCCAGCTTGATTTTAGACTAAGTGCAAATCGTTTCCATGGAAATGATGAAAAACATAAATGACAAAATCTGCAAATAGCAAAGGCACCACTTCAAGATCTGCCTCACATAAATTGCAAGTTTTACTGAAAGATATTAAGAAGTTTTGAAAGCGAAATCCACCCCTCCCTTTTGAAACTAAGTCTAACTTCGTTTCCATGGAAACCTAGAAAATAAAAAGACAAAATCTGTAAAAATTGCAAAGGCACCACTTTGGGATCTGCCTCACATATCTGCCAGAAGTTTTGCTGAAAGATATTAAGAAGTTTTTGAGTTGTGCTCATAATATGAAACCTACCCCTCAATTTGAGACTTAGTCGAATCGTTTCCATGGAAACCGGGGAAAATAAAAATGCCCAAAATCTGCAAATAGCAAAAGGCACCACTTAAGGTTCTGTTTGATATATCTACCAAGTTCTGTTGAAAAATACTGGCAAGAGCGGTTCTTGAGTTATGCCTCGAAAGAAGCCCGCCCTCCCTTTTGAGACTAAGTCCGAATCGTTTCCATGGAAGCTGAGAAAATAATAATCCGCGAAAAGTCTGCAAATAGCAAAAGAGGCACCACTTTGGGATCTGCCTCACATATCTGCCAAGTTTTGCTGAAAGATATTAAGAAGTTTCGAGAGTTGTGCTCGAAGCGAAAGCCCATCCTCACTTTTTGTGACTAAGTCCAAATCGTTTCCATGGAAACCAAGAAAAATAGAAATGCCAAAAATCTGCAAACACCACTTAAGGTTCTGTTTGATATATCTATCAAGTTTTGTTGAAAAATATTAGCTGAAACCAATCTCTCCTATTTGAGACCAAGTCCCAAGCCTTTCCATGGAAACCAGGAAAAATAACAAAGAGTCATCAGAAGATGACATATCCCCGACCCCCACATCTTTGAAGAGAACAAATCATCTGACAGTTACTTAAAGTCCAGCTTGATTTTAGACTAAGTGCAAATCGTTTCCATGGAAATCATGAAAAATAAATGACAAAATCTGCAAATGGCAAAAGGCACCACTTTGGGATCTGCCTCACATATCTGCCAAAGTTTTGCTGAAAGATATTAAGAAGTTTTAGCGTTGTGCTCGGAAACAAAACCCATCCCTTCCTTTTTGAGACTAAGTTGAATCATTTCCATGGAAACCGAGAAAATAATAAATCACAAATATCTGCAAATAGCAAAGGCATCACTTCAATATCTGCCTCACATATCTGCCAAGTTTTGCTGAAAGATATAGAGAGGTTTTGAGTTGTGCTCGGGAAGCGAAAGCCCACCCCTCACTTTTAGGATTAAGTCGAATCGTTTCCATGGAAACCGGGAAAAATAAAATACCAAAATCTGCAAATAGCAAAAGGCACAACTTTAGGATCTGTTTGATATATCTACCAACTTTTGTTGAAAAATATTCAATGGTTCTTGAGTTATGCTCCGGAAGCGAAAGCAATCCTTACTTTTTGAGACTAAGTTCAAAATGTTTCCATGGAAACCGGGAAAAATAAAAATGCCAAAAATCTGTGCAAAAATGCAAAAGGCACCACTTTAGGATCTGTTTGATATATCTACCAAGTTTTGTTGAAAAATATTGAGCGGTTCTTGAGTTATGCTCGGAAGCAGAAGCCCACCCTTCTTTAAACAGAAAACTATGATGTGAGGTCTAATTTGGTTTAAATATCTGAGCTTATTGTAAGCATGGATCCTAGGTTTCAGTATGTCACTGCATCTTGTGGATCCCATACCTGCTATTGACAGGTGTTGTGTACTTGTCAATGACTCGTTCCATGATTTGCAAAATGGTTGATTGGTGCCATGAAAACCATTTTTATGGTTATTCATGTATGAAGTGCATAAGGTTATATTAAAGTAAACTGTTTGCCTAAAGAGGGTTTCCATATCATTATTTATCTAGTTTTAAATGGATACAATTTCAAATAATAAATCAATGTTTAAGTAAAGTTGGGAATTTTTGCCACCCTTAGCAAAGTGTGAGTAGTATACCAATATTAGTGCTATTAGACAAGGCACTTTCATGATTAATTCAAGAATGTCATCATCATATTACACTCATTTCATTAATGTCACTTTGTTAAATATGATGAAATTCTGAAAACGATGTTGACCTCAAAATTAGGTGCATGAATGTATGATAATGAATTTGAAGCTGTGACTGTATGTTACCTTGCCGGTGAGAGATCGGAGACCCTGTTCTTTCTTACTAAGCTCTTCTCGGCCGGACTGGAGCGTCTGCTGGAGGGAGTTCTCTTGTCGCCACAGTGCACTGAAACATACACCATGTCAGTACAAGTTTTCATCAATTGTAAACCAGATGAAAAACATGGCAAACAACGTATAAATCAGACATAATATCAAAACATTCGATAATATACAATCCAAAAACTGTATATAGCTGCCATTTAGATGTAAAAGGTCCAAAATAGAAAATGAAAAGTGCCATATAGGGACCCAGGTGCTCTCACAACCGTCCTCAAGGGAGAAGAAGGAGAGAGTGACAAACATGGCTGGTCATGTGACCAAACAGGGCGTCAAAGGAGGCAAGGGAGACTACTCGTGGGTGAGTGATGAATATACGTCCGCTCTTTAGAAGGGAACTTCAAGGGATTTCAAGTGTTCCACTATCATTCGCAAGAAGAAGGAGACAAGCATTTAGCATGAGTCAGGATAAGGAAACATTGAACACACTGTTAATAGAAATAGCCACACCAATTCTAGACTACACACAATCCTCATAAAGAGTGCATCATAATGATTGAATCTGCCACATTTTCAATGGAGTGTGAGTGAGTTTAGTTTTATGCCGTACTCAGCAATATTCCAGCTATATGGTGGCGGTCTGCAAATAATCGAGTCTGGACCAGACAATCCAGTGATCAACAGCATGAGCATCAATCTATGCAACTGGGAACCGATGACATGTGTCAACCAAGTCAGCGGTCTGACCACCCGATCCCATTAGCGGCCTCTTACGACAAGCATGGGTTGCTGAAGACCAATTCTAACCCGGATGTTCACGGGCATTTTCAATGGAAACGTGATGAAACTGAAAGCATGTGTACTACGTTAGATGACATCTGCATGATTGATTGAGTTGGCTTCCACTGAAGACGTCCCAGGTTATGATGCACACTTAAAAAGGATTGTGTCCTGTTCGGAATTTGTGTGGTTACAGATTCCCATTAACTCCTGCTTGTCATAGGCAGTCAGATGGATGGGATGGTCAGGCTTGGTGGTGGATTATGTATTAATGTACCTAGATGTTGATAGTAAGAGTCACTACTAGGAGGATATTTGATTGACTTACAGGCCATGCTGATTGGGCATACCATAGAAAATTAGCAGAGGGCAAATAAACTGTTCAATACATCCACATTCTATAGAAATCTTAATCCAGATTCCCAACTGATTTAGAAAAGTGCCATGACATTTTGAAATCAGAATTTAATCCTGTGTTTCAAGGATTCCAAACATGTGGTAGGCAATGTAATATGACACTGGACAACTAGGACAGCCTGGAAGAATATTTGTAATATGCCATTAGAACAACACGCCTTGCAGAGCAATACTTGAGTGTATCGTTGTCTAGTGTAGTAAGTATCCTCACCTCCTCTCATTCTGCAGGTTATCCTTCTCTTTCTTCTTCTCCTGATAATCCTTGTTGTCTCGATCCTGCATGCTCTTGAAGTGCTCGCTCTTGCTCTCATTGCCCTGGGAACAAGACAAAGTCATCAATATCCCCCGCAATGGCAAAATACTCTTCATGATTATGTCTACGAGTTATGATTATGTCAAATATTTAGGTGTGTATATAGAAAAGTGGAAGGAGAGTATTGAAAGGTTATTAAAGTTCTGCTCCAGAAAGGAGCACACCCATCAATTCCAGTCTAAGTCGAACTTGTTGCCATGGAAACGCCAAAAATATTTTTATTCAGAAATTCAAAACTACCAAAAGGCACCAGTATACCACCAGATCTATCTATGTGCCAAATTTGGTGAAGAAATAGTAAACGGTTTTAGAGTTCTGCTCGGAAAAGAGTACTACCACCAATTTCAGTCAAAGTCGAACTTGTTGCCATGAAAACACCAAAATATTTTATTCAAAACTACCAAAAGGCACCAGTACACCACCAGATCTATCTATGTGCCAAGTTTGGTGAAGAAATATTGAACGGTTTTAGAGTTCTGCTCGAGGAAAAGAGCACTACCACCAATTTCCAAGTCGAACTTGTTGCCATGGAAGCGCCAAAAATATTTTTATTCAGAATTCCAAAACTACCAAAGGCACCAGTATACCACCAGATCTATCTATGTGCCAAATTTGGTGAAGAAATAGTAAACGGTTTTAGAGTTCTGCTCCGGAAAAGAGCACTACCACTAATTTCATTCTAAGTCGAACTTGTTGCCATGGAAACGCCAAAAATGTTTTATTCAGAATTCCAAAAGTACCAAAAGGCACCAGTACACCACCAGATCTATCTATGTGCCAAGTTTGGTGAAGAAATATTGAATGGTTTTAGAGTTCTGCTCCGGAAAAGACAAATGTGCACGGATGGACGGACAGACGCACGCACGCACGGTTGCGGAGTCCATTTTAATACCCTTCAAAGCGCGTTGCGGGGGATAAAAAACTACAATATTGCAAGTAATTACAGGACCATGAATATTTTTCTAAATAAAATTCCCAACTCTACACTCTCAGACCAACAAATGGTCAGTCGCTAACATGGCATCCCCCTGTTTCAGACTTGTAGTGTTGGGAAAGCCAGCAATGTAAACTGTCCTGTTAATCAACAAACTTCACCAATGCTTATTGTAAGAGGAAACTAACACATGTCATTGTATGCTATCTGCACAGATTGATGCTCATGTTGTTGATCACTGGACTGTCTGGTCCAGACTCAATTATTTACAGACAACTGCCATATAGCTGGAATACTGCTGAGTGCTGCGTTAAACAACAAACAAAACAACAAACTTCATGATGATTCAAACATCAACAACAAGTTAAAATACTGACCTCAATCTTCGTCATGAGCTCCTGGCGTCTTTGTTCATCTTTCCCAGAATCATCTGTCAATCTTTTAATCTACAAAACACAATTTTAAAATATAAAACAAATCATTCCCTTCTTGATGCAAGATTAACTCATGTCCACAAGTTGGTTTTGGTCTTGATGTCTAACACAAACTCAAAAAGTTTCTGAACAATACTCCTTTTAAAGACAATTGGGTTAACATATTTCTTCATGCACGACTGTATGAAAAAACAATCAGGGCGACTAAATTTGCACTTTTTTGTAATTACGCAGTTTATCTAGCTCTGCAGGTTCTTATATCATTTTCAAGTCCAAGTTCGTTAACCAGTTGTTACATAATTACATAAATCCACTGTACATTGTTAACCAAAAATCACTGTGTTCTTTAATCTGATTGGTTGGAAAACATGATCAAATGGTATTCGATTCCCGCAAAATCGCTGAATATTAATCCATACAAACATCACTCACACCATTGTATTGTTATGTCGTCAGCTGTCATATTGTGGGCAAAGTTCAATGATCATATTAGTTGCTGAAACACAAAAACATGTGTGGACCTTTTGGTACCCATTACTTTTGTGTCAATGAGTGCAAACACAAAAACGTGTGTGGACCATGTTTACTTTGGCCAATTTCAATAAATGTTATTGAGTATTTTGAAACAAGGGAATTCATTTGGAACCGACGTGTAAGCCGGAGGTTTCAAATGAAATATTCCCGTGCTTCAAATACTCCATAACAGCCGGAAATTAGCCAACACATGATGTTTATCTTCTAATTTGGTGCCAGTTAGCACTCTCCCACCCAGCCATCATGTGATGATTCGTCACGTCTTACATTTTCCATTTCAGATTTATATATGTTTATTCTGATTAGTTTCTTTACAAACATGGGAAAAGTCTGGTCACATGATATGCATATAAGCACATGGCAGTGATGTTATGCTGTCACCACTGCACTAAAGTGTGGCTAGCTTGAAGCTGACCTGCTCCTCCTTGTCCCTGATTGCCTTGTTGAGGGACTTCAACTCCTTCTTGATCCAAGTGTCTCTGTCCTCCCGCGATGTGAACTGGTTGCCACGCCCCTGCTTGGCATACAGTTCCTTCCTCCTCTGCTCAGCTAGAGACAGCCTGGCACACAAAACATCTAAAGTCATCACAACTTGAAACATTACAATTGAGCACTATCTACTTGAACCCATACATATAGCCCCACACAAGCCTAAGATATGAGGGACCTGTGAAGATCCGGGTTAGAATTGATCTTCAGTAACCCATGCTTGTCGTAAAACGCGACTAATGGGATCGGGTGGTCAGGCTCGCTGACTTGGTTGACATATGTCATCGTATCTCCAATTGCATAGATTGATGCTCATGCTGTTGATCACTGGATTGTCTGGTCCAGATTATTTACAGATCGCCGCCATATAGCTGGAATATTGCTGAGTGCAGTGTAAAACTAAACTCACTCACTCACTAAGTCATGAGGGGTGGGGAGAGACTTTTGATTCTCTCAGCATCCTTAAAGGAAATGTTGTAGGTTCTACCATGGAGAATAATGAGTGTCTATTGAGAAATCTAGCAGCTATAAATGGATGATATTGTGTAAGATTTTTATGCTTTGTTAATGAATATCCATTCAGTAAACAAACTGACCCAGTTTTCAATATTTAGTTCATTCTTAACATGACATGCTAAATATGACCACAAATATTTTCAAGCAGGTGACTTTAATTGCAAAACCAGGACTGGCATATTAAGCTTCTTGTACTCATAAAAGGAACAAGCTAAGCTAGCCACATTTGTGTTTTAGACTATTTCTATTGCAGCTTTAAGGCCAGGCTATGCAAACATATACATGTAACTGCTGCTTAAACATTACCATAGAAATCTATGGGGAAACATTTGGTTTTGTGTAACCTGTAATAGCACCCAAGGTATGGTACTGAAACCAGAGTTTCTACTGACGTAAACTCTGAACAAGGCAATACCACAGTTCTTTCGTTAGATAGTGTGTATATTCACAGACTTTTCACAACTGGCCTTGACATTGTCATTGAAAGACTTCACACAAGCATGAATTTCTGGTAACTTCCTCAACGAAAGAGATCACATAAGAGGGCAATGTCTGGAGACTTACTCATTGGCTGCCTGTTCCTCCAGATCCCGCTGGCCTTCATACTGGGGTACAATGGCCTCCAGAGCTTCCTGTGTCTTCACGATCTTGTCGTTCAGCTTCTTCAGCTCCAGCTCCGACTTGGTCTGCAACAACAAAACATAATCAACATTGTAATTGTCACTGACTAATACACAAGGGTTTAGGCATCTCAAATGGAACAAGAGTCATCAGAAGTTGACAAATCACTCCCCACCCCCACTAATATATCTGACAGTTACTTAAAGTCCAACTTGATTTTTTTGACTAAGTCCAAATCGTTTCCATGGAAATTAAGAAAATTAAAAATTACATAAATCTGTAAATAGCAAAAGACACCACTCTAAGTTCTGTTTGATATATGTACCAAGTTTTGTTGTAAGATACTGGATGGTTTTCGAGTTATTCTCCGGAAACGAAGCCCATCCCTCCCTTTTGAGACTAAGTCCAAAACGTTTCCATGGAAACCGGGAATATAAATGACTAAAATCTGTAAATAGCAAAAGGCACCACTTTGGGATCTGCCTCATATATCTGCCAAGTTTTGTTGAAAGATATTGAAAGGTTTTCGAGTGCTCCGGAAACGAAGCCCACCCCTCCCTTTTGAGACTAAGTCCAAAACGTTTCCATGGAAACCGGGAAAATTAAAAATGACAAAAATCTGTGAATAGCAAAAGGCACCACTTTAGGTTCTGTTTGATATGTCTACCAATATATGTTGAAAAATACTGAATGTTTTTTTAGATTTGCTACATCTTTTTTAGTTTTGCTCCAGAAACAAAATGATTACGGACAGAGGAGGCATCGACTATATTACATGCCAGGGGGATAAAAGTAGTATTTGCTACATCTAAGCATGTTGGGATCTCACATTTCATCAAAATCACCAACTGATAAGGGCCTTGAGGTCCTGAGATCAGTGGGGTAAGACTACTCTAAGATTTTGAATGTAGGGACCCAATAGTGAGCTGGGTTCTTGAGGGGGAAAGTGAGTGAGTATGGTTTTACGCCACTTTTAGCAATATTCTGGTAATAACACGGCGGGGACACCAGAAATGGCCTCACACATTATGGTCTTCAGCGTGATGAGCGAACACTTTAACCACTAGGCTACCCAAACGCCCCTTATTAAACAACAGTATTACATAATCATCTAGGGGGAATAGCCAGGCCTGATGCAATATGCTGAAATCCACAAACACTGGTATAAATTGCTGATAAACCAAGAAACAAAACCAGAGCAAATAGGGATTCAGACCCCAACCAAAGGTTTCAGGCAGGCCCAAGGGGGCATAACTCTGCATGGCAAATTGCAGCACCAAAAACAAATGGGCCATCCATGGTCCTCTGAATTTTGGAAATTTTAAATATAAATTGTATATTTATATACTTATCCTATCTCACGGTATGCACTTCTCTCTCTTGATTCGACACTGAGTGGAACGATGTAAACATTTTTTCCCTTGACCTCTCTTGTCCATCCGCCCAGGCACTCCATGCTACCCTCATTATAAGACAGCTTCCTAGTTGTCATGCAAAGCATGCGGCATGCACCACTAGCTACCACGTGACTATCTTTGAATCATCATTCTCATTCTTGGAGCCACTGGAATATCAATCTTGGAGAATCTGCATAGCGGGGAGGATGGGCAGGAATTCGTCGCGAGAGATAGGATAAGTATATAAATATACAATTTATATTTAAAATTTCCAAATTTTTAACTTATCCAATCTCACGGTATGCACTTATCCCACGGTTGGTTGGATGCAGATACCCTGTGTCTTGTCAGTGCGAACAGTAGAACTGTGTAGACTGGAAACAACCGTAGATAGCGATGCACAAGGGAGGCCTGTTACGACTAGCGCAACTCCTATGCTTGTGACGAGTTCCTCTGAACTCCTTGGCTTACTAAAACCAACATCTCCCAGGGAGATGGGTGCTCCCGAGCGATGTGTTCGGCCGCAACCTCCGAAGAAGGACGCAGCTCAGCGAGAAAGGATGTCACTTCGCCACGAATTTCAAGGTACCCCTGTAAATTAAAGTCATAGACAATAATCAGGCTAGCAGCTGCTTCGAGAAAGCCCCCACAGACACCGACCAGGGGCGGGTGAAAGAGAAGCGCAACTCGGAAAACTCGCAGTTTTAACGTTCAGTTCCAGTCAACATCAAATGGACCCTCACTCCTTTACATAAGCTTAGTCAAAGGATGAGCCTGGCAACTTTGGAGTCGGAACGCAACGAAATCCACTGGAATTCGGGAGTGACAGACTTCACTGACATAATTGCTTCGAAAAGTAGAGGTCAGGAAACGTGAAATGTCGAACCCTTCCACATCTGATACAGAATCGAGCTCCAGATTCATCCAACCACCGAGGCGGTAGTATCTCTGTGTCTTAGTATAAAACTAAGTGAAGTAGTTCTAACCCATAAGCAATCAAAACATAAGGCAGACATCAAGTTCAGACTTATATTCAGGAAAATACAGGGAAGCAGCAACCGCGTGGGACCATTTTCCTATATCTGCGTTGGTGGGCCGTAGACAGCTGTTGTGCGAGAACAAGGGGTCCAAACTGGTACAGGCCTTGGACATCCTTGACTGAGAGGTCCCGAAGGTAGTGCGTGAGGAGAAGACCAAGTCAGATCGCCAAAAGCATCCTTCCATAATGGCGTGGAGAGAGCAGTTACTATGCAGAGCCATTGTAGACACTAACGCCCATGTCTCATGTGGATTGGAAGCTGTCGGGGCCGGTAACCCAGCGAAGGTGTAAGCCCGTAGGATGGTGGCTCTCATCCAGAAGGATAATGTGGTGCAAGACACTTCCGCCCTGGATGTTGAGGACAACGGAATGAAGAGGCGCTTGCAGAGACGGCGGCGATCTTTAGAAGCAGCAAGAAAAAATCTTCAAAGCCCTAACAGGGCAAAGCTGCAGGTCTTCATTGTCATGCGGCCCAAGGATCATGGACAACGGTGGGATGGTAAAAGTATCGATCAGGTTGTCCCAGCAACTGATTCTTCGCTACGAAATCCCAATGGAGACCGAGGAAGACTTTGCCATGCTTCTTTTGTTCGAACTGGACTCTGTTAACGTCCAAAGCATGGAGTTCAGAAATCCGAGCAGCTGTAGCCAAGGCCACAAGGAAAAAGGTCTTGAAGGAGATCTTCTCAAAGTCCTTCTGAGCTAGGGGTTCATAGTCCGCCGAGGCCAAATGACGCAGCACCACAGATAAATCCCATGCAGGAGGTCTAAACTTCTTAGACTGATCGGCCAACTTGAAGGACCGGAGCAAATACTGAAGCTCAGGAACCGCCGATGAGACCTTAGAGCCTGTGGTGGTAGCCAGGACCGAGTTGATCACAGCAAGGTAAGTGGCCAAAGTGGAACCCTTGAGCTTCTTAGACGACCGCAAATGCTGAAGAAACTCAGCGACGATTTGAGGCGAAGTAGAAACAGGAGATGTAATGCCTCTGGACGTGCAATATCTCTCAAAACATTTCCACTTCTCATCATAAAGTGAGCAGGTGGAAGTCCGATGAGCAGAAGTGATGGCCATAGCCACTCTCCGAGAATACCCCTTGGCGATTAAGGACTTCTGCAGATGCGCCAAACGTGCAGAGACAGGGTGTGAAGGGATACATGACGCCGATCAGAGTGAGGGTGTAACAGTAGGTCGTCCCGATCGGGAAGAGGAACTGGGTATAGGTCTGCGAGCTGTGCGAGATCGACAAACCAACTCCTGACTGGCCAGTGAGGCGCGACCAAAAGCAGTAGAATCTGCCTGGTCGCCGGAGTTTCAGTGACTCTGGGTAGAAGAGCCGGAGGGGAAAGGCGTAAGCTGAGCCCTTAAATCGCCAGAGTGACGGAGATCCCATGCTAGTTGGTCTGGTATCGGGTGAGACAAAGGCAGGAGCTGATGGTTGAGCCGGGCTCCCACACTTGGGGCCTTGATAAGAAGACCAGTTCCGAAAAGATCTGTGGGTTCAATTGCCACCCGCGGGGGAGACGGCCGATCGGAGCGGACAGCGATCTGGCGATGTTGGGAATGTGTCTGGCTCAAGCAGATGGCGAGGGAGTCGATCAGATGGAAGAACCGAACGCCAGCTGAAGAAGGATTGCTGAACCTATCGACCCGAGATGGTTGATGTACCAGACAACCGTGGAGTTGTCTGTCTGAATCAGCAGGGAGGACCCCTGAAGTTCCGTCGCCCAATGTCAAATGGCGAGAAGAACAACCAAGAACTCAAGTTCGTTGATGTGCAAGTCCCGTTCTGCGGACGACCACAGCCCGGCCGTCTGATGATGAAGAAAGTGAGCCCCAAAACCTTTGAGCGACCAACGACGAAAAAGTGGTGCACTGGAATGAACGGCATCAAACAAACTGCGGCAATCTGTTCTACAAGCCACCACTGAAGAAAAGGACGTAAGGATTCGGGAAGATGAATCAACTCCTTGAGATTCTCTGAGACGAGATACGGACGCAGGAAACGCTGCAACGGACACAGTTGCAATTGTCCCAGCAGTGTCAATGCCTGTGCTGATGTCAAGAGACCCAAAAGTTCCTGCCACTGTCGTAAGGTCCTGGCCTGTGACAGTGCTAACGGAACTAGCCGTTGAATTTTCAGCCATCTGTCTTGGGGACAAAAATCAGGCCCTGGTGCGTGTCGAAAGTTGCCCCGATGAATTGAAGGGTCTGGGTCGGTGTTAGTTTCAACTTCGCAGCGTTTAACAGCCAACCTAGTTGCTGGAGAAGCTTCATACTGAACTCCAACTGACGTAGAAGAACGACTGGGTCTCTCTGTGCCTGAATGCAGTCATCTATGTAACTTCAAATCGTGGAGATGAAGAAACCTGGTGATCGGCTTGGTGATCCTGGTAAATAGCCACGGGCCGTGGAAATTCCAAAAGGCAGGACAGCCCATTGATAATGGATCCCTTGGAACATGAATCGGAGGAATTTCCGCGAATCCGGATGAATGGGCACATGAAGATAAGCATCTTGAAGGTCTAGGCTGACAAGAAAATCCCTTTCTTCAGGATGGTGGGTGCGAAGAATGACGATCGATACCATCCGGAAGTGAGGTGGGCGCTGGAGATAGTGGGCATTGAA